AATATGAGCAATAACTATTGTTTACGGGTCCAAACAGACTCAATTTCGCCCTAGGAAGGTCCCATATTAAGCGGATTTGCTAAGCTCCGCCCCTTTTTGACACGTGCACGAAAATTGGTGGAATTGCTCAGCATAAATGACCTATTTGAGGAAAAATAAGCAATTTTAGGAACTCAGGTGAATAAAAATCATATTGAGGTCCATCATCGCCGTATCAGGTACCCCCAAAAGGGGGCGTGGCCTACTAGGCCCCGCCCACTTTGTATAAATAGGTGGATTTTGGAGCTTCACATCATTCATTTATTCATCCTGAAGTGACTTCGTGTGTTTAGAAGTCTTCTCCCCCCTATTTTCCTGAAATTCTATCATTTATTCTTATTATTTGGATTTTTGGATTTTTCTGGAATACGGTAGGAAATTAGGAAATTTCAGATTTTGAGAAAATAATTTTTTTCACAGAATCGTCCAAAACTCGATTTCCAACATTTTGCAGTTCAAATTTTGGGTTTTGAAATCAAAAATATTTGATAAAAACATCTAAAAATGTAAGTATTCTGGACATTCTTTTGGTCAGAACTTTCAAATTTTGAATTTTCAAGTTTCGAAATTATAAATTTAGGATTTACGACGTTAAGTGCTTCACGACTATCCTAACTTAGTTTTGAATTTTGACCTACCAGCCGCGACGCGACCGCAACGCATGGGCCAAATTTCAAAGTCGCTCTATGCTAGTCATGTTTGGGCTCATTTTGAAGCTCGAAAGCTCTAAAATCTTAAAATTATAGTTTCAGAGTGTTTTGGCTAGTGTAAAGAAAGAAACAGCACGCTTTTGAGTTTGAAGGAAAACTTCAAACCTCAATATTCCAGTCAACTATGTCTGGATCAATTCAAAACAAAAGTATTCGTACTCAGCTAGTAGTGAGCTTTAAAATAAGCCCAAAAACGACTAGTCTAGCTTAATTTCGAATTTTGACCTACCAACCGCGACGCGACCGCGACGCAGGAGTGGATCGATTTCACCGGGAATGAATTTAAAGATTTGAAGACATAGAAAGCGATTCGTTTTTTCATTTTTTTTTAATTTTAGATGGTAATTCACAAGGGTCCATGCTAGTTGAATAGAACGAAAAAATTTCAAAATGAGAACCAAATTTTGAAAACAAGTAAGTACTTGAAATGTTCTTAACTTCTGTTTTTGAGCTTTGCAATAAAATTATTAAGGTTTTGGGCATCTAGAGCTTTGAAATGAGCCCAAACACGACTAGTCTAGCTTAATCTTGAGTTTCGACCTACCAGCCGCTACGCAACCGCGACGCATGGCTAAAAATGAACATGAGATGAAGATAGTCGTGTGTGGGCTCATTTTGAAGCACTCGGCGAGAGAAAGCTTCAAATAATGGTTTTATTTCTTAGAGATTGTGACTGTTTTCAGAAAATTAGGGATTTTTTAGTTTCTGAGATTGATCAGGAGAATTTTTTAGTTGAAATTTCCGAATTCGAAGTTGAATTTCAAGATTCTGGACGTTGAGAGCTTCAAAATGAGCCCAAACACGACTAGTCTAGCTTAATTTCAAAATTTGACCTACCAACCGCGACGCGACCGCAACGCATGGCTCAAACTTCAGAGTCAACCAAAGCTAGCCGTGTTTGGGCTCATTTTGAAGCTCTTAAAGAGCTCAATCGAAGTATAGAGGTTTTAAAATGTCTAAATGTGAAAATTTTCAGCTGGATGCAGATGGATGTGACTTTGTAAGGAGAAATTTATGCAACCTGACTTCGTTAAAATTGGATTTCCACACGGATTTTTCACAAAGGTGAGAATTATATTATTATGGATCTTCTTTTTTTGTTGAAAATTCTTTAATTGTTAAATACCAATTTTCCGAGAAAAAAAACGGCTTCAATATGAGATTTTTTTCGGCTTTTGTCCTCGAATTCCCTTAATTTCGGTTCATCCAAATTTTTAGCTTTGAAATAAGCTCAATTAAATCTTCCGGAAATTAACCAATCTTTCTCGCAGTGAATCGAAAATCACATAATCGAACTCAGCTAATTGAGAGCTTTAAAATAAGCCCAAACACGACTATTCTAGCTTAATTTTGAGTTTTGGCCCTTGCGCTGCGGTCGCGTCGCGGTTGGTAGGTCAAAATTCAAAGTTGAGCTAGACTAGTCGTGTTTGGGCTCATTTTAAAGCACACAACGCAAAAATTACGAATATCACATTTTGAGACTTTTTGACATTGTAATTTTGTCTAAAAGTGAATTTTTTAAAAGTCTAAAAAGTGAATATCCCGGAAATCAATAAATTTTGATCGTAGCTTTGAAATGAAATGAAAGTAAAATAATTCAACTTTGTTCGTGGAAAGCTTCAAAATGAGCCTAAACACGACTAGTCTACCTCAATTTTGAATTTTGCCCTACCAACCGCGACGCGACCGCAACGCATGGGTCAAAATTCAAAGTTGAGAAATTCTAGTCGTGTTTGGGCTCATTTTAAAGCTCTCAGCGGGCCTAAGAGGAATATGAAAGTCTCAAAATGTAAAACGTTGTAAAATTTCAGAAAGAGGAAGAAGAAGAGGAACTAAAGCAGTATGGAAATGAAAAGAAGATGGAATACAAGCCTATCTTTTAGGTACCGCATTCCGGACGACGCCATGATCCACACGCCACCTGCCGAGAGACGTGCGCCTAAAAATAACGCTTTATGAGTTTTGAAGGTTAGCTAGTTGAAAAAAAAACTTTCGGAAATCATACCAGAGCACCTGACCTAATAAGGAAGTAAGTATTTAAAACTTATAGTTTTTGCTTTCAAGATTTTAATTGCAAAATGTGTGACTTCGACATCGTAATTTTGCTCCTGACACCGCAATTTTGCCAAAAAGGAAAATTTGAAAATTCTCCGAAAAATTAAATCTTCCGGAAATTAACCAATCTTTCTCGCAGTGAATCGAAAATCACATTATCAAACTCAGCTTATTGAGAGCTTTGAAATGAGCCCAAGCACGACTATTCTAGCTTAATTTTGAGTTTTGAGCCACGCGTCGCGGTCGCGTCGCGGTTGGTAGGTCAAAATTCAAAGTTGAGCTAGACTAGTCGTGTTTGGGCTCATTTTAAAGCACACAACGCAAAAATTACGAATATCACATTTTGAGACTTCTTGACATTGTAATTTTGTCTAAAAGTGAATTTTTTAAAAGTCTAAAAAGTGAATATCCCGGAAATCAATAAATTTTGATCGTAGCTTTGAAATGAAATGAAAGTAAAATAATTCAACTTTGTTCGTGGAAAGCTTCAAAATGAGCCTAAACACGACTAGTCTAGCTCAAGTTTAAGTGTTGACCTACCAACCGCTACGCGACCGCGACGCGTGGCTCAAAAATGAAAATGACCCGAATATAGACGTGTTTGTGCTCATTTTGAAGCTCTCAGTGAGCTAATAACAAATATAAAACTGTTAAAATGTCTAAATTTTCAGGAAGAAGTAGAAGAATTAAACTTTGGGAGGTCCAAAGGCACAAAAACGGAGAAATCATCCTTGGACACGGACACTCATAACCCATTTCATTAAAAAAAAATATATATATATAACTCCGGCGAGTTTTAATCTTAAATTAAAAGTATTTTTCAATAAACTATTTATTCTCAATTTTTTGGTTACTGTAGATCATAACTTAAAAAAAAAATATTTTATTACACATTAAAAAACTGATAAATAATGAGGCAAATACAACACATAATAATCAATTTCAAGGAATTTCGGGCAATTTTTTAGCATTTTTCTGAACATACAAGGGTATATTGCACAGCGTTAAAATATGGTGGGATTACTGTAGATATCCGTTCAACGGTACATTTTTTTAAAAACAATTTAGCACTCTTTTACTTCTCCTGGAAGACATCGGGTATAAGATTTATTGTTGTTGTGGTGGGTAGTTGTTATGATGGTTCATTTGATGCATCATTCTGAACTTTTGGATTTTTGAATTTTTGCAGCTTGGATTTTAAGATTGAGACGTTTTCAGCGACATATTTGGATTCAGCAGCTTAAGAGCTTCAAAATGAGCCCAAACATGACTAGTCTAGCTCAATTTTGAGTTTTGACCTACGCTGCGCGGTCGCGTCGCGGTTGGTAGGTCAAAACCCGAAATTGAGCTAGACTAGTCGCGTTTGGGCTCATTTCAAAGCGTGAACCGCAAAAATTGGGTAAAGCTACATTTTGGAGCCTCCTGACATCGTATTTTTTGCCAAAAAAAGAAAATTTGAAAATTCTCTGAAAAATTAAATCTTCAAAAAAATTTAAAAAAATTAACCAATCTTTCTCGCAGTGTATCGAAAATTATATAATCGAACTCAGCTTATTGAGAGCTTCATAATGAGCCCAAACACGACTAGTCTAGCTCAATTTTGAATTTTGCTCTACACGTTGCGGTCGCGTCGCGGCTGGTAGGTCAAAACTCAAAGCTGAGCTAGACTAGTCGTGTTTAGGTTCATTTTGAAGCCCTTTTCGTTTCAAATTCAACTAACTGGTTTGAATTTTGTTGCTGCTGCTGCATCATCATCAAATTTTGTTGGCTTAAATTTTGCTGGCGATGCATTCTGAAAAATTGAAATATCGTTTTTTTTCGCCGAATTTTTAAAATCTTACTGTTGCATTTGTGGTGGTTGTTGTACTCGTTGTGGTGAGAACGTTGGATAGTTGAAATGTTGAAGCGGTGATTGGTTTGGCATTGGACTTTGGACCATTCCATGATTAATCATTCCAACTGACGGTGGCGTTTGGTATTGTTGGGACATGGGGGACTGGAATCATTGTTTTCATCGTTTTTAGCTCAACGAGGGCTTCAAAATAAGCCCAAACACGGCTAGCCTAGCTTCATTTTGGATTTTGACCCACTAACCGCGACGCGACCGCAACGCGAAGGTCAAAACTCATAATTGAGCTAGGCTAGTCGTGTTTGGGCTCATTTTGAATCACACAACAAAGGAAACTTGAAAATAATAATTTCAATCGCCGGATTTATTATAGAGCAGCTGGAAATTGATCATTAAATTTTTTTTTCGAAGTTTTCAAAACTTTAAATCTTCCGTTAACAAGATTAAAAGCATTATAACAGGTTGAGAGTAGTTTATCTCGATTCAGCTCATTGAGAGCTTCAAAATGAGCCCAAACTCGACTAGTTTAGCTCAGATTCGAGTTTTGATCTACCAATCCGCGACGCGACCGCAACGCGTAGGTCAAAAATGAACTTTGAGCTAGACTAGTCGTGTTTGGGCTCATTTTGAAGCGGTTAACTTTTTAAATTCAAATTTTTAATTTTCAAGCTTTATAAATTTTGTAAATTCCAGAAATTTCGTCTTACCGGATGAGATGAAAATTGATGGGGACTTTGAGAAACCATCGAGTTATTGCTGAGTGGTGTGTGCATTAGAGAGGAATTGCTCATCGAGTTTGGAATTGGAGATTGATAAGAATTGGTTGGGTACTGTTGATGTTGTAGGGTTTGTGGAGATTGGTTCATAGTGGATCCTGAAAATTGAAATTTTCCAGAATAAATGAATTTGAGGTGTTTTTCTGGAGGTGAGAGGTCCAAATTTAGCTTTTGGAGGTTATGAGCTTCATAATGAGTCCAAACACGCCTAGTCTAGCTCGAATTTGATTTTTGAGCTACGCGTTGCGGTCGCGTCGCGGCTGGTAAGTCAAAACTCAAAATTGTGCTAGACTAGTCGTGTTTGGGCTTGTTTTAAAGCTGAAAACTAGCCAAATTCAGTATTCGAAGCCTCACCTTGCTTAGATTGCTGCATGTTCATATTTTGGCCATTTCCATTTTCTGGAAACATGGGTCCGCGTTGTTGAAAGACTTGGGGTTGTTGGGGAAGAAATTGAGGGGTCTGTGCGGGAATGTGATGACTCTGAGAGGAATTCTGACGTTGAAAATTGGGATTCTGACCGAAATTTGGGGCCGGAGGAGGGTCCATATGTTGCAGTGGTTGGGTTACGGTAGGGAAGAACTGTGGAGTAGGGGGATTTGATGGCAAAAATAGGGAATTTTGGATTGGATTTTGAATTGGATTCTGAATCTCGCTTCCTCTCTTCATATCCGCAGATTGGGTCCGCACACGAAGTGAGGCTAATTTCTCAAAAGCGCTCATTGGTTTTTCTGGTTTTTCTGGAATTTCCTGTTTTACAGTGCTGTAGGATTCCAGTCCAGCTGCTTCCTGAGCGGCGTTTAGAATGTCCATTGGCTGAAAACATTCTTAGCTTTTTCAAAATTAAAAAAATTATTCTCTACCTGCTCCATCGCCTCTTGTTTAGGTGCAACTGAAAAACTTGGACCTGGGGTGACTTGAGGTTCCTGGAAATTCTAGAATTCTCATCTCTATGAAACTTTTCGAGTTTTTGATGTTATTAGCTTTAAAATGAGTTTAAACACGACTAGTCTAGCGTAATTTTAAGTTTTGACCTACCAACCGCGACGCGACCGCAACGCATGGGTCAAAATTTGAAATTAAGCTAGACTAGTCGTGTTTGGGCTCATTTTGAAGCTCAATGCCTCTTAAATTCAAAAATCAAAACTTCATAAGACTTAAATAACCAATGTTCGTATATTGGTTGAAAATACTCAAAAAAAAATTTTTTTTTTAAATTTTCAAAAATTTCCAAATTCATTTATTTGGAATATTTTTTGCCTTCACTAGATAAAAACATTTTTTCTGATCTATTGACGTCCTAATCTCCAAAATGAGCCCAAACACGGCTAGTCTAGCTCAATTTTGAATTTTAACCTACCAAACCGCGACGCAACCGCAACGCGTAGGTCAAAACTCAAAGTTGAGCAGACTAGTCGTGTTTGGGCTCATGTTGAAGCTCTCAATGAGCTGAATTCGAAATTCCATGTTTCAGGAAACTTCACCTACCGTATTCTGAGGTACTGTAGTCATTTGTGGTGGCGGTGGTGTATCTTCTCTGCGTCTCTGCGCCTGCTGCGCTCTCATCATCCTTATCTGATTCTCTCGCTCTTCGGCTCTCTTGGCTTCAGCCATTTTTCTCTCCTGTAAAAAAAAAAAATTTTTCTGAGAATTTGAAAGAAATCACATAAAAATCAATAAATCAATAATAACTAATCATGCTCGCATGCCACACCTCATCAACTTTGCTCTGTTGCTCTGACAAAAAATCGACGTCGTCCATGAGAAGATCCTCTTCGAGTCCTTGAAGAGCGTCGGCCGCCTCCTGAATTTTGGGGAAAAATCACGGGACAAAGAAGGCACAACAATCAGTTAAATTTTGAATTTCGAAGATATGAGGTTTAGATTTTCAGATTTGGGAGCTTTTTAGCTTTAAAATGAGCTTAAACACGACTAGTCTAGCTCAACTTTGAGTTTTGACCTATGCGTCGCGGTTGCGTAGCGGCCAAATTCAAATTGCAGCTAGAGTAGTCGTGTTTAGGCTCATTTTAAAGCGCAAAGTGTACTGATTCTAAAAATATATATTCAACTCGATTAGGGCAAAAATACTCATGCTAGGAAGGTTTCAAAAAATTGTGGGGAAACATCTATTGGCGAAAATTTGGGTTCGGAATGCTCAAGGCGTTTTGAAACTTATAATTTTGAAGTTCTCAAGTTATAAGCTTCAAAATGAGTCCAAACACGACTAGTCTAGCTCAATTTCGATTTTTGACCTACCAAACCGCGACGCAACCGCAACGCGTAGGTCAAAACTCAAAGTTGAGCTAGAATAGTCGTGTTTGGGCTCATTACGAAGCGCATAACCTCACAAGCTCAGAAATAATATTCTGAGCAAGTTTAAATCACAAATTCTCAAAATTTTTGATTTTAACAATTTCGAAAAAATTTTTCTTGAATTTTTTCAAAAAAAAAATATGGGATCGGGTTTTCAAAGCTTGCGAAAACCTTGACTTTTGAATTCTGGAGATGCTGAACTTCGAAATGAACCTAGTCTCGACTAGTCTAGCTCAATTTTGAGTTTTGACCAACGCGTTGCGGCTGCGTCGCGGTTTGGTAGGTCAAAATTCAAATTTTTGAAGATTAGGACGTCAATAGATCAGAAAAAATGTTTTGGACAAGTAAGGCAAAACATATTCAAAATAAATGAATTTGGAATTTTTTGAAAATTTTTTTTTCCTGAGTATTTCCAAACAATATATGAAAATTGGTTAATAAATTCTTATGAAGTCTCGATTTTTGAATTTAATAGGTGTTGAGCTTCAAAATAAGCCCAAACACGACTAGTCTAGCTCAACTTTGAGTTTTGACTTACGCGTTGCGGTTGCGTTGCGGTTTGGTAGGTCAACATTCAAAGTTAAGCTAGATTAGTCGTGTTCGGGCTCATTTTGAAGCTCTCAATGAGTGGAGCAAGAATATATGAGTTTTAACACAAAATTGTGGACAATAAGAGAGTTATGAGCAATTTCAGAATTTTTTGGAAAATTTGAATAGCTCATACTTCGCTCATTTTTCAAAAATTTGAAATCAACCACATTTAGTTTTACTCAACTTGCCATGAGTTTTAAAATGAGCCCAAACAAGACTAGTCTAGCTCAACTTTGAGTTTTGACCTACGCGTTGCGGTTGCGTTGCGGTTTGGTAGGTCAACATTCAAAGTTAAGCTAGATTAGTCGTGTTCGGGCTCATTTTGAAGCTCTCAATGAGTGGAGCAAGAATATATGAGTTTTAACACAAAATTGTGGACAATAAGAGAGTTATGAGCAATTTCAGAATTTTTTGGAAAATTTGAATAGCTCATACTTCGCTCATTTTTCAAAAATTTGAAATCAACCACATTTAGTTTTACTCAACTTGCCATGAGTTTTAAAATGAGCCCAAACAAGACTAGTCTAGCTCAACTTTGAGTTTTGACCTACGCGTTGCGGTTGCGTTGCGGTTTGGTAGGTCAACATTCAAAGTTAAGCTAGATTAGTCGTGTTCGGGCTCATTTTGAAGCTCTCAATGAGTGGAGCAAGAATATATGAATTTTAACACAAAATTGTGGACAATAAGAGAGTTATGAGCAATTTCAGAATTTTTTGGAAAACTTGAATAGCTCATACTTCGCTCATTTTTCAAAAGTTTGAAATCAACCACATATAGTTTTACTCAACTCGCCATGAGTTTCAAAATGAGCCCCAACACGACTAGTCTAGCTCAACTATGAGTTTTGACCTACGCGTTGCGGTTGCGTTGCGGCTGGTAGGTCGAAACATGAACTTGAGCTAGAATAGTCGTGTTTGGGCTCATTTTGAAGCTCTCGACGCAAGAGATTCAAATTTTCGCATTTCAAGGAGTTTGATTCTCCACCTTTTCCATTTTGGCTCTTCTTTCAATCTCTTTTTGCACTTGTTCCTCTGCTTCTCTCTTCCTGCGTCGATCCTCTTCCTGTTGTGCCAATAACCGTTTCGCCTGAATCCGATCCTCTTCTTCCCTTCTTTTTCTCTCAGAAATTTCTCGAATTTCCCGCTCTTTTCTCCTTTTTCTTCTCGTTTTTCTCGCTCTTTCCGCTCCTTTTCTTCCCGTTTTCTCGCTTCGATTTTCTCTTTTTCCGCTTGTTTTTCGTGTTCTTTTCTTAATTTTTCTTCTTGTTTCTTCCTATTTTCCTCCTGAATCTTCTCCAGCCTCGCCAATTGCTCAGCCTTCTTTTTCTCTTCTGCCGATTTTTCCAACTTCGAAAAATACTCGAAAAGTTTCACATAGTTCTCTTCCGTCATCTTTTGAGCTTGTTGTATTCGCTGCGACGCAATTGCCGCCGCCATTCGAGTTTGTCCCACGTTCGAGAGAATGTTCTGGAAAATTATCAAATTTTCTCTCAATCTAGAAGATTTCTTATTTTGACAGTATTAAATTTGAATTTAGCTTTTTCTGTGCTTCAAAATGAGCCGAAACACGACTAGATTCGCTCAATTTTGAGTTTTGACCTACCAAACCGCGACGCGACCGCAACATGTAGGTCAAAACTCAAAGTTGAGCCAGACTAGTCGTGTTTGGGCTTATTTTGATGCTCACATCACGAAGAGAACAAAAATAACTGTCTTAAGCACTTTGCTTTGATAGATTCATCAAAAACTGGAAATTTTCAAAATTCATAATCCAGAATCGTCCGGTAATTGGTTTGCGTTAATCGCAACGATCCAAAACGTGCATATTTAAACTCAGCTTATTGAGTGCTTTCACATGAGCCCAAACACGACTAATCTAGCTTTATTTTCAATGTTGACCTACCAAACCGCGACGCGACCGCAACGCGTAAGTCAAAACTCAAAGTTAAGCTAGGCTAGTCGTGTTCGTGCTCATTTTGAAGCACACAACATGGCACACTCGAAAATTGCTATGAAAATTGTCTTGTTCCGACTAATTTGTTGCAAACTAGAAGAATTGGAAAATTTCAAAAATTCCACAATATTGAATCTCCCGAAAACTGTTTCACACGAATCGCAACATGTTGAAAATAGTATATTCCGATTCACCTTATTGAGAGCTTCAAAATGAGCCCAAACACGACTAGTCTAGCTTAATTTTCAATTTTGATCTACCAAACCGCGACGCGACCGCAATGCGTAGGTCAAAACTCAAAGTTGAGCTAGACTAGCCGTGTTTGGCCTCATTTTTAAGCGCACAACATGGGAAACTTAAAAATCTCAATTATAGATAACTGGTCTTAATAGATTCGGTGCAAATTGGGAATTTTCCAAAATTTCAGGATATATGTAGAACCTTCCAGAAACACGGGACACATTAATCGCAATGTGTTGAAAGTTATATATTTCGATTTAGCTCCTCAAGAGCTTCAAAACGAGCCCAAACACGACTAGTCTACCTGCAATTTGAATTTTGACCTACCGAACCGCGACGCGACCACAACGCGTAGGTCAAAACTTAAAATTGAGCTAGACTAGTCGTGTTTGGGCTCATTTTGAAGCTCTCAATCTCAGAAGTCTAAATTTTTGAGTTTCACCCGGGTCCCAGGATTACTGTAGCCGCCTACAGTACTACTCACTTTAAACATTGTCATTTGACTCGCCATTGGAACGCCACACGAGTAAACAGCAATCACTAGGAGCGTTAGCATTTCCTCTGATATCGGATATTTCGACGAATCGCAAATTTCAGCAGTCTGAACATTTGTAGTTTTGGAGGGGATTACTGTAGTTGTTGGGTTACTGTAGTGAAATGAGCAAGCAAGCAACAAACTAATAAAATACAACACATTTATAGCGGGTTAAGGGCCATTTTTGATGATAATTTGACAGAAAAAAAGTGGGCGGGGCCTAAAAAGGGGCGGAGCTTCACAAGGAATACGAATAAAAGGGTCATGAAATTGAGATTGTTCGAGGTAAAAAAAGAGGGAAAAAAAGTGAAAAAATACCGTAGTAATTTGAAAAAAATTGGAAATTTTTTTTGAGATTTTTAAGTCAAAAATCGATTTTCAAGGCTTTAAAAAAGCTGAAAATCTTCAAAAAATTGTCTGAAAATCTTCATTTTTTCAGCTCAAAATCCATCATTTTCAGGCCCATTTTCAGCCTATTTTAGCTCATTTTTTCTAGAAAAATCTGGACAATTTTCAGCCATTTTCAGTAAAATTTTTTTCCGAAAATTTGTCTTAAAATCGCCATTTTTCAGCTCAAAATCCATCATTTTCAGCCTATTTTAGCTCACTTTTTTCAGAATTTTCAGAATTTTTTGGCGAAAAATCTGGAAATTTTCAGCCATTTTCAGCAAAATTTCAGCAAAAATTTTTGTCAAAAATTTGTATGAAAATCGCCATTTTTCAGCTCAAAATCCATCATTTTCAGCCTATTTTAGCTCACTTTTTTCAGAATTTTCAGAATTTTTTGGCGAAAAATCTGGAAATTTTCAGCCATTTTCAGCAAAATTTCAGCAAAAATTTTTGTCAAAAATTTGTATGAAAATCGCCATTTTTCAGCTCAAAATCCACTAGTTTCAGCCTATTTCGGCTCATTTTTTCTGAAATTTTTTCGGGGAAAAATCTGAAATTTTAAGCCAAATTTCAGCCAAAAAAAACCATCACCAAAAAACCACCAAAAAGCATTAAATAAGGGAAAAAAGTGCATGAAAAAAACCATTCATCACCAAACAGCCACGACAACGAAAAAATTCCAAAAATCTACAGTAACCCAGTTTTTGTTAAAAATAAGCAATCTGCTGAAAAAAAAACCAAGTTTTAAAGCTCAAAATTGCTCATTTTCAGTGCCCAAAAGAGGATTACTGTAGATTTCCAGGGGATGCATTAATTAGAGGCTAATTAGTCAGGCTAATTAGTCTTAATTGGGTAATTAACTACTACTCACTGTCGAATTGCCAGTCGCCAGCACGTATTTCCCCAGGTATACCTGGAAGAATTGAGACAATTTCGGGTTTTTTGGTGATTTTTTGAAATTTTTTTTTTTTGAAAAAATTGGAAATTTGGGGGCGGAGCCTAAATTTTCAGCATTCTCTAGAATCTATTTTTGACGATTTTAAGCCATTTTCGGGCCATTTTTTTAGCTCTTTCGACGATTTTCAGCCTAAGTTTAGGTCATTTTAGACGATTTTTGGGCAATTTTGGACCATTTTAAAGCCGAAAAAAGCCAAAAAAAAGGGGCGGAGCTTAAAAAATTGGGAACTTCAGAATTTTTTGAATCAATTTTCGACGATTTTCAGATCATTTTTAGTCCATTTTGGACCATTTTAGGCCGTTTTTTAGTCATTTCAGACCAATTTTCAGCTCAAAAACTCTCGAAAAATCTCCAAAAGGGGCGGGAAATTCAAAATTCAAAAAAAAGAGAAAAAATGATAGAATTCAAAATGGCGGACGTCCAGTCATTCTTCTGGCTTCAGATGACGTCGTTATCTCCTCCACTATAATGTCATCGTCATCTTCGAATTTCATTACCTGAACCAGTTGATTCATCGCTTGGAGACGTTGCTTTGAGGCGACGTCTTCTGAATTTTTCGATTCAGAAGACGTGGTGGGTTTAGAAGACGTCGCAGTGACTCCAGAACACGTCGTTGTCGCGACTCCTGGAGGCTTCGAGAAGATTCCAGATGACTTTACGGCGGCCGCTCCAGAGGATCCATTTCCAGAGGGCGTTGTGGCTCCTGAAGGCTTTGAAGGCGTGACGATAGCTCCTAGTGGTTTAGAAGGCGCTCCAGATGACGTCGGCGCTCCAGAAGGCTTGACAACGATTCCAGAAGACGTCGTCGTCTTTTTCAGCGATGGAAATCCAGAAGTTTTGGAAAGTGTATATTTGACTGGGGATGAAGAAGGTGTTTTCAGACCCAACGATGGTCGACCGACACCACGTTTCAGCACCGAACGGGTGAAATCTGAAAGAATTGAGCTACAGTAATCCCGGGAAACACATGAAATGGAGAAATTTGAACTTTAGACATCGAGGGCTTCGAAATGAGCCCAAACACGACTAGTCTAGCTTGATTTAGAGTTTTGACCTACGCGTTGCGGTCGCGTCGCGGTTCGGTAGGTCAAAACTCAAAACTGAGCGAATCTAGTCGTGTTTAGGCTCATTTTGAAGCACACAACGAAAGAAACACGAAAATTACAGTTTCAAACACTTTGGTTTCATGGAATCATTGAAAATTGGAGGTTTCCCAAAATTGAAATTTTTGAAACGCCCAGAAATTTGTTAAAATTTAGAATCGCAACGTTTTGAAAGTGATATATCTCAACTCAGCTTGTTGAGAGCTTCAAAACGAGCCCCAACACGACTAGTTTATCTCAATTTNGAGTNNNGACCTAATCACCCGCGACGCGNCCNCAACGCGTAGGTCAAAAAGTCAAAATCAAGCTAGACTAGTCGTGTTTATACTCATTTTGAAGCTCTCAACGAGCTGAATCGAAATATATCACTTTCTCACTTTCAACAAGTTCCGGACATGAATTAAGGTGTTTTTAGCCGTTTTCAGCTACTTTTTCGGCCGAAAAAAGACCTGAAAACCGGCTAACCATGAAGCTCGCGGTTCAATCCCCTTAGAGACGGTTCCTCCATTCCGTTCGGCCATTTATTTGATATTTCTGATTCTGGACCACTTGATGCTTGACAATCGCCTCGTTCGCCTGCCTTAATCTCGATTTCATCGGCTCCTCGACGGCCAAAAACGATAATTTCTGAAGACGTCGACAGATTTCGATGTAGAATTGAATCTTGGTGATTTTCTCCTCTATGACATGATGGAGAGTGTCTATTCCCGTCACTGCGACGTCCAGCTTGCCATTTGCCAGGGCATAATCCACTAGATCTTCGAGATACGGGTGGATGGCGGCGCTGAAGAGACAAAAATAGAGAAATTAGCGATTTTAGGACTAAAAATCTGGCATTTTAAGCTCAAAATCGCAAATTTTAAGCCAAAATAGACCATTTTTGTACCTGCAACGGGCCTTTTTTGACAGTTTACCGGCTATTCTGACCATTTATTCTGCATTCTTGAGCTTTCCGATTTTTCAAATGAAGCAAAATATCACTTACAGTACTGGCTCCGAGAATTGAAATGTGTAGACGGCGTCGTCGGCGAGGCGGCTGAAAATTTAATGAGTACTGTAGCAGCTACAGTAATCCCGGGAAACTTGTAAAACCGAAAAGTTTAAATTTCTTAGGTTGTACGCTTCAAAATGAGCCCAAACACGACTAGTCTAGCTCAACTTTGAGTTTTGACTTACGCGTTGCGGTTGCGTTGCGGTTTGGTAGGTCAACATTCAAAATTGTGCTAGATTAGTCGTGTTCGGGCTCATTTTGAAGCTCTCAATGAGTGGAGCAAGAATATATGAGTTTTAACACAAAATTGTGGACAATAAGAGAGTTATGAGCAATTTCAGAATTTTTTGGAAAATTTGAATAGCTCATACTTCGCTCATTTTTCAAAAATTTGAAATCAACCACATTTAGTTTTACTCAACTTGCCATGAGTTTTAAAATGAGCCCAAACAAGACTAGTCTAGCTCAACTTTGAGTTTTGACCTACGCGTTGCGGTTGCGTTGCGGTTTGGTAGGTCAACATTCAAAGTTAAGCTAGATTAGTCGTGTTCGGGCTCATTTTGAAGCTCTCAATGAGTGGAGCAAGAATATATGAGTTTTAACACAAAATTGTGGACAATAAGAGAGTTATGAGCAATTTCAGAATTTTTTGGAAAATTTGAATAGCTCATACTTCGCTCATTTTTCAAAAATTTGAAATCAACCACATTTAGTTTTACTCAACTTGCCATGAGTTTTAAAATGAGCCCAAACAAGACTAGTCTAGCTCAACTTTGAGTTTTGACCTACGCGTTGCGGTTGCGTTGCGGTTTGGTAGGTCAACATTCAAAGTTAAGCTAGATTAGTCCGTGTTCGGGCTCATTTTGAAGCTCTCAATGAGTGGAGCAAGAATATATGAATTTTAACACAAAATTGTGGACAA